TTTCTTTACTGTTAAAAAGCATGAGCTTAGTTGAGGAATTTAAAATTTATAAGCACAACAAGGATTAGGCCTTCCAAGACTGTTATTTCTCAATTAAAGTCTCCATAACTAGTGATGTGGGGAGACGGCACTGGCATTAGATAAAATGAACATTTTTATTTAAAACACAGCATCAATTTAAAAGTTTAGAACATTGAGACAAAGAGATCAGCACAAAAAGCATAAATGAAATATTTGCAGTGGCTATTCCATGAGAACATGACAACTAGATATAAATATCTAAACACTGCAACATTTTTTAAAAGTAATATTAAAATGCTGGCCTGTTTTACTACAAAGATCTGAAAGCTTTTAATTAAGTTTTTAATCTCCTGAACATTTTCTCCAAAATGCCCTGCAACTTGATCTTACTTGCAAAACACAATGACATTCAAGGTATATTCCTTTATAATGCTGATCGCTAGGATTAATAATAGCAATGTTAATATCCACATTTTTTTAAAGTAAGTCATTATATTAAATGCAAATACTTCTCAGAGTTAATAATATTAGGTTCTGGAAGACAGTATTCTTCAAATATCCTAATAAGAAATGATAAAAGGATAAACTTTTTTAAAAAATCATACTATCAGCTGTAAAAAGAAAAGGTTTATTCATTAGTATACAAACTGAATATTAAAAATTGTTTTTAGTTAAAATGAATAGCACTGTGACTAATGGGGGAAAAAAAATCAAAAGATCGCAGTGATGCAAACTTACATTGCTAAGTGTGATTATCCATTCTATTTTTTATTTTAGAAATCTGTAACTTCCGTAGTCATGTATGTGAGATGGGCAACTATATAAATTTACCAAATAAATAAATAACCATATTTGTAAAACAATTAAGGCTGCATTTAGACATCAAAATTAGCCATTATACACCATTATGGAAACACATCTTGGTGATCATGTATCCCTTTCTCTTCAATTGCAAAGAATTTTGAACTTCTTGTTCTATTTATATTTATCCACAACAGGTCATTTTATCTAATGAACAACTGATGGAACTACTGGCTGAGAAACAATGAACATTCTTTCACTTCCTCAGCCATACAACCACTCGAAGGATTAGCCACAACAACCCTTATCTGTGAATGGCATCTAACTTCTTCCATAGCAGCAGCCATTTCTGGAATCATATTTCAACGGTTTTTTTAGTGGCATGGATTGTTACTAAGGAAGTAACAATGAACACCTTGAGTCAGTCTTCAGGTTGTGCTAATACTGTAATACTTAGTGTCAGAAGTTCCAGATAAGACTGCATTTCTATTGGCAGCCTGTCTAATTCAATGTTCAAAAGTCTCCCTGGCCACATGGACAGAACAGTCTCAGTGATGACAGTCATGACTTATGGAACATGTTTTGTTTAAGCAATGGTTCCATGATCGTGAATGAACCATTACAGACTTCATTGTCATATTACTTGCAATCTCCACAGAAGCTGAAGCCCCAATTCACTGCTTCTTGGCCTTTTAACTAAGATCAAGTGTGGAGGCTCCAATTCAATAGTCCAATCTCCCAGAGACCAATCAATTAAAGGATTTTCTGAAGTACATGTAGATTTATTCTGAGGCTTTAGTCAGTAGTTCATCTGATATTTAAGTCCCTGCCTAAAAAGAGATATTGATAACGCTAATGATGCTGGTGTGTGACTGTGATAAAGATTAATTTGATCTGATCTGATCGGGATGAGGCTAAAGTTCAAGCTAGAATAAAATTTTAGTCACTGCAGATATTGTTTCAAGTAACTGAGGATGCCAATTAGAACACAGATGATGAAAAACCCATTGGGAGCACAACTATAAATATATTTTTATTTTATTTATATTTCAAATTTGTCACCACCCATCTCACTGTGGGGTGACTCTGGGCAGTTATAAACATATAAACATATAAAGAGACCATCTTTAGGCTGCTCCTTTCATGACAATAACAATAGCAACAACAACACCTTTTTCTTCCACAATTGCATTTACACAATGCTGGCTGGCAAAATTGTTTTTGAAAGTACAAAACTTTTCCATATAAATCCAGTGAGTTGGTACTGAAGTCATGGAGAACACTCTGTCACCAGTTTGCAATGTCACCACTCTGCAATGTCACCAGTTTGCAATGGGTAAAAATAATTCATATTCATAGCTGTATGCCATAATTTAATAACATTAATATGTTAATAAAATATTAATAACTTGATTAAATCAGTATAAAGTTAGCGTATTACATTTTCAACCAGAGTGCATTGATTTGGCTGCTTAGGAAATTGAGACTAAAAACTTATTCTCTACATCTTTTGACTATCATGATTTTTAAAGTCTTCCAGGATAGAGTTGAAGAGCTGGACTTCAGCGAGTTCCTTCTTGAGAGACATTAGAGAAGGTGTAACCTCTCTTCCGTTTAGCAAAGGTATAACATAATCTTAATGAATAAACTGCTTTTACCTTTTTAACTTTAAACAGTTACATTCAGTTTAACGCCTTCCCTTCTTGACTGAGACCCTGGAGAGGACAGTTATCTCTCAACTCAAATTATAGGAAAAACAGATTTATCTCCTACTCAGATCTGCATAATGGAATGAAAATGCCTTGATCATGATAACACATGGGATGACAATATGTGGTCTGTGAGACTGCTTTTTTATGCCGGGAAAAATAATAAAATTGATGGGATTTTCTCCAAAGACAATCTCCTGGCCATCCCTTCTGGTGACAGCAATTCTGGTATCTCCCAAACTGGACCAAAACTCTTTGAGACCAGCAAGACTTATACTTTTTGCTTTTGACTCCAAACCACAGCAACCACTCACTCAGAACATGTATTTGCCAAGCAACCACAGTGTTCCCCCAACTCAAATAATCCTTTGCACACAAAACTTGATTGAGGCCTACTGTTGTTGTTCCTTGTCCCTCTGGCTGGCCCTATGCTGTCCAATCATCACCAAAGAGACTCAGCTTTTGCCAACTAAAGTATTAAAAAAATAGGCATTGTAGAGAATAAAGACAGTGGAAATACATTGTTGGAAATATGACCACCTACCAAGAAAAATGACCAACATAAGCCGGGGTAGCTGAAAGTTTCCTGGGGAGCAAATGTGGATGGAAAGGAACAAAGCACCTCTGTATCTCCAGGAAAAGGATGTTTCTGACTGACACATTCACCACAGTACCTATTTCATGAAGAATCAAATCACTTGCCAATCACTGCTATTCTATGAAACTACCCACAAGATCCTTCCAAAGTTTCAGATGTGTCCACCACTTCAGAAAAGTCACCTAACTTGGTGGTATGTTTCTTCATGAATTACTAAACTCTTTAGGCAGAAACCAATAGTATGCCTGCACCATACTTCTACTGATTGAACAAGAAAATAGTAAGTGAGTCTTCCTCCCCACTGCTGTTCCCCAATCAACCTCAAAATATGCTTCAGAGACTCTTCCCATTGCCTTTTGAAGAACGAAGATGCACAACTAACTGCATAAAGAAAGACAGGACAAATCCTTTTGCAGAAGCAAAACATCATTTGTACTACATTGGATTCTCCAATTCGTCATTTACCATAGGAGTCATTTCAAAAGCCAGTTGCTGGAATCAAGGGTGGTGTATCACTCATGTAATGTGGCCACTGCTAAGTCTGAATAATTAACCTTCCTTGTTGCAGCCCAACCGCATGTAATTTATTTCCAGAGTAGCCACCAGCTCCCAAGAGTCGCGTTTTCAGGGAGTGGAAAGACTGCAGAAATAAAGGAAGGCAGGAAAATTCTGCTCACAGAACAGAATTTAGGATAAACCAATAATTTATACAACAACACATTGGCTAAACTAACAACTTATGTTTCTTCTTTATGAGTTACATATTCCTAGGCCTTTTTAAAAGCTAGATTAGGAGTTACAATTTGAGGTGCTAAATTACAGAAGCTAGCACATACACATTCCTATTCTCCAATATAATACAGTCTATGAAATCCTGTACAGTATTCTGAACCTATATCTCAGATTGCAATGCTTATTCTTAATGATGACCAAAAATACTATAAAAAATGCCATCAGTGTAGAAGCAGAGCTTAACTCATAAGGCATCATAACATGGAAAATAAAATATTAATATAAAATTTGTATGCACAGTAACAACAAATGAATTAATACTTGTTTTCAGGTGTTTTATACCTACCTCATATCTTCTGTGTTTCCTTACAAATAGCATAGAAATCTAATTTAAAGTGTTTTTACTCATAAAACAATAACATATTCAGACAGCAAATCTTATAGAATACTCATCATTACGGAATACTCATCATTAAATACATTTCCCTCCCCTGTGAAAACACCATATTTTGTATTAGGATGAAGATGAAAACAGAACTAAAAATGTCTGGTGCCTTTTTAATGACATGTTGGAGGAAGAGAGACAGAATAAAACAGAAACCAAGATTATCCCAAGGTTGTTTTCATAACAGATTTTATCACTGTCTCCAAATGAGTCTAAGTGAATAGATAAAATTCTCTCTTACTTGCAATTTTTAATGGCTTAATTTATAATTTTACAGTTCAGAGTTTCATCAGTCCAAAATTATTGTATGCCTCGTTTTTCTCAAATGAAAGGCATACAATAATTATTGCACCAATATAATATATATAATCTTTTTATTGCAGATGCATGTTAGGTTCAATACAATGTGCTCTTCTTTCCTCAGACCACCACTGAGGTTATAAACTTTGCACATACCCCAGGAAGACTGTACTTCCTTATAAACATGTGTAGGACAGTTGTGTGAATGCTTTTCTGTTATTCAAGCAACACAACATACTTTACAAAGGTACCAATATATTTTACAGCAGCCATTCTACTTACCGTTTTATTGTTCTAACACCCGAAACTTGTTTGTCCCTTTATATTTACTCTATTATGATACCTAATCTTCCTCACAGCTGTTTGGAATTACCCTCCACAAAAACATACTAACCTTCACTGGCTGAAGTTCCACAGCCTTCAAGGTTTAACAGGATATCATCATCTTTGTCATCTCTGACATTTCCCAGCAGCATCCAGCTCTCCACATTATCACTTTCAGAGGCTATACTTGACACATCAATTGCATCATCATTGCTGGAGCTGTCCTCAGTTACTAAAACCCTATGGATCATGTGAACATCATCCTGGTTAAAGGAGATTGCCTTTTGATCAGCCTTTCCCTCTTTACTTGAATTTACTGTAACTTGTCTCTTAGATTTCAGGATAATCTGGGAAGGGTGTTCAATAGATTTCTTAGCACGAGAATATGCAGTCTTGTTGAATTTACTTAATATTGGAGACACTGATGCTGTTAGCTTCTGGAGCTTACTTTCATAAATGCTATCTTCATCAGGAGTATCAGACAATATTATGACATCTGGGCTATCCGAAATGTTAATATCACTATCTGAAATTACAATTAAGTTATTTCTCTGATCTTGTTGATTCACCGACTTCTGTATCTTCAGGGATTCAACTTCTTGTCCTTTGACATCCTTATTGTCTTGTTCACTGACACCCTCAAGGTCTTGTGCATAATGGACTTGACTATAAAGATGAAATTCTACTTCACTATCAATACTTGTTTCACTGGAAGACCCCTCAGAATAGAGATCATCTTCAAATGCTTCTGTATCACCATATCCACTGAACATCATGGTAGTATTTTATCTACGAAAAAAAAAAGAACAATGAATGAAGCTCAGCAATCCAGTGTAGATATTTCATTAACACACAGAACAATCTTTAAGTGAACAAAACTTTAAAACTTTATCAATTTTATGGTGCATTTCTATGCATGTTTACTCAGAAGCAAGCCTCAGTGTGTTCAGTGGATTGTATGCCTTAAAAAGAAAACTTTAACTCAAGGCAAAAGTCTCCATAATATATAAGTGCATACCAAATAAAAATACTAATACCACATAGTTGTAAGACGTTTATTCCAGGTCTGTGCAAAATCACTTGTGTCTTTCAGCAGAGGGCCAAAAACCTACTCTCCAGCCAAGAATTCTGCCAGCTCTCTACTGCACTATATGCAGAGATGAGACAATCTGAGGATGGTTCATTCCTTACCAACTTACTCAAAAGACGTGCCTGTCAAGAGTTTTTTGACAGATACAAAAGAAATGTGGTTTGGAAAATAGAAAGAAGAGATGACTTATTGTACTCAATGCCTGCAATTGTACAGACACTCCAGGTTGAATAAATTCTGCCTCTCTAGTGAAGCCCATCACATACTGGATCCCATCATTATTTCTTTTGTGACAGGCAATGAGGGAAAATGCTCTACCATGCAGGAGGTTCCATCCAAATAGGGTTCACTAATTTGAATGATTTAATGGGTCAATAGTTTTTGTTTAATATAAATGTAACCAGTTTAAACATAAAGTCCAGAGTTATATTAGTAGTCCTGTTTATTGGTCCATTACTTTTAATGGATTAAAAAAAACAGAGGAAAAAATTACATTGGCATATGACAGGAGAAGAAAGTGAGAAGGAGGGGCTCAAATAAACAATTTCCCTTAGAGTCTTAAACAAATCCAGGCCCCATCTTCTCTTGAGAGCGGGGAAAGAGAGACAGTAATAGTTCCGGCACATAATTGGAATCCATTCAGATGGCAACCAATATAGCCCAGATGAGGAACAATAGAAGAAATACATGCCTAACAAATGAGAAAAAATTCCACCTCTTTTCATCAAGTTCTCTGGAGACCACTAAGCTGACCTCACTGAGCATTTCAGCAATTTATAAACGTTGCTAAATATTTGCACACTGCTTTCCCATCTGCTTAAAGTGGTTTACAACCAACAAAAACATTAAATAGTATCAAAAATGTGTAGCCTTCAAATTAATCTATCATATCAGCCAAAACCCAACTTTTAAAAATACATTTGTATTACACTGCATAAATTTATTTTTTAAAAAACAGCAAATGGTAACTAATCTATTTCTCAAAAGATTCCTGAGTTTTGGAACAGCCATTGTGAAAGCTCTATACTGGGTTATATTATCTTGCCAAGAACAGAGCCAAAAAACCTCCCCTATTTATTTTTATACAATCAAATTCAAAATGACTCCCAGCAGTTTACTTCGCAAAAACATAAAACACAGTAAAAACCTAAAATCTACAATAATACAATAGATACATTAGTGACCATTCACTATCCAAAGGCCCTCTGCAATAGCTCTGTCTTAATAATTTCTGGAAGGCCAACAATGAAGGCATCAGCCTAATTTCCAGAGGAGGCTATTATATAATACTGTACAGGGGCTGCAACTGAAAAACTTTGCCTGAAAGCGCCTACTCCATTCGCCCCACACACTTGAAGGAAGCCTAAAAGATGCTGATGTCTGTGCACGCTGGGTGAGCTAGGTGAGACACTTCTATGCAGAGAAGTCTTGTTAATACCCCAATTCCAAGTTATATAGGGCTCTGTAGGTCAAAACCAGCACTTTGAATTGCACCTGGAAACCTACTGATAATCAACAAGTTAACCATAAAACAGATATTACATGACTATAGTGATTTTGACTTGCTAATATACAACCTGCTATATTTTGTACCAGCTGCAGTTTACCAGGTTGTCTTCAGAGGTAGCCCCATGTAGAACACACTGCAAGAATTCAAATAAATAACTGCATGAATCACTATGGAAAAATCCTCCCAGTCCAGGTAAGGCCACAAATGGTACAAAGCCAAATTTGGGGAAAGGTCCCCCGGCTGCAACCTCTACCTGCCTATTTAGCAATAGCCGTAAGTCCAGGAAGAGCCCCAAGTTGGAGACCAGCTCTTTCAAGGTACGTTCCACCCTTTCTGCACAAACAGTAATTTTGTCTTGCATGAGTTCAGCTTCAGCCTGTTTCACCTCATCCAAATTCAAACTGCCCCCAAACACCAGTTTGAGATTTCCACAGCATCTCCAATTCACTGGGTTCAAACTATACAAATATTGTTATTATTATTATATTTTTATCACGCCTTTTATTATTTTTTAGAAATAACTCAAGGCAGCGAACATATCTAATACTCCTTCCTCCTCCTCCTATTTTCCCCACAACAACAACCCTATGAGGTAACTTGGGCTGAGAGAGAGTGACTGGCCCAAAGCCACCCAGCTGACTTTCATGTCTAAGGG